GCATTTCAACAAATCCTCGTCCGATACGGGGAATAACGCGCGACTCTCTCTCACGCGCAGTAAGAATGCTTCCGCGTCGTCTCCGCGCGCGCCCGAAAACGTGACGTTCCACTTCCGGAGCGCCTGCGATATATCGCGCACCGGACCTCGCGGGTACGCGGTCGCGTTCCCCTCCTCGCGAGTCCAAAGCGGGGGCGAAGGGATGCGATCCCCCGGCCATTCCCCTCGGCTCGCGCGGGGCCCTCCAGCCTCCGCGGCACGCGGAGCTGGGCTATCCGGACGCATCGGTGTCGGCGGACGCAGATGTCCAGCCGCGGCATCCTCCGCGCTTGATCCGTTCGTATCGTGATCCACCGGGGTCTCTAATTCATAACGAAGCAATCGGTCGTATAGCGCGGGGGTATTTCCTTCAGCGTCTAATCCCCGCTGCTCGAGAGCCTCCTTCAAGCCCTCCGGCGGCAGCAAGAATATCCATGCAAATCGCGTCGGTCCCTCCGCCATCACGACGTTCACGCGAAACCACGCCAATAAAGTAACAAGATTCTCAGCCAGAAACAGAGAGAAACTCTCCACACTCGGTAGCAATCGCGATTCCTCTCGACAGCCGCTCCTAAACCGATCGCGAAATGAAAGATACGCGTGCCTGCTGCAAACTTTCTCTCTACGCTACTTCCAAGGTCTCTCTCTCTCTGAAACTACCTGTATTCTCCCGAGTCGACAGCCGCTAAACGCTAATTTTCGAAATTCTCAATGTCGCGGAACAACAACACACGAGGCGACCAAACTCTCGTTATTGAGACACAAGGAGATCACAACGACCGAAAAATATTTTCGTAAACGCGGCCGTACACGCGCGAATAATAACCGACACGGCTAACGGGGCGAGATACGCACGTAGCGTGTAACGACAACAGCTGAGGCAACACACACAACCTTGCTCAAGTACACGAAGGTTTTCGCAACTGAATATTATTCACTCGATACGCCGAAATTTCAGAGTCACTCGCGATAACTCTAACTCTCTAATGTTGCAACGCGCACAATAAACACTGCTGAAAATAAGAAATTAATTCACTCACATGTAACGACAAATATGACACGCAAAATATAATTATCCTTCTCTCTCTCGCTCTCGGAACCCACAAAAATTTTCTAGCTCTTTTAATCGAGGCCCGCACGTTGGACGCCAAATTTGTAACCGTACTCGCGAGCAACGGCACAACTTCGTCGTGTGTTCTCGGTACTCCAAGTACGCAAAAGTATCTTCTCTCCCTCGGTAGCAGAATTTTGCGACAGCCAGGCGGTTTTTCGGCCAAAA